TGATTAAGCAATTCAGTGCATGGATTTCAATCCTTTTCAAATCAATCTTTCATGTTTTGAATTTAATCAAATCAGTCTTCCATCTTTCGAATTTTATCAAATTAGTCCTTTTAATTTTTATTTATGTTCGTGGTGCATGCATGTCTTGATTTTGTTCATTTTAGTCCAAAAATTTTAAAGTGTTTCAATTTGGTTTATCTCTTTTTTTTTTCAAGTTTGCTTATTAAGACTCAAACATAAACATGATGAATAAGTTGAATCAAAACCCCCAGTGTTAAAATATGCAACCGTGTTTAAACGAAGGATTGTGAAGTGTGCGTATACCCTTCCTCACTCTTAACTGAATCCCCGAACCCCAATCTCTGCGCAGACTCATTTTAGGTGACTTGTCCCACCTTATAATTTGGACGAGTGGCGACTCCTTTTTCTTTTCCTATATTTTTACACTTAATTTTTCACTGTTTTGAAAAAATCTTAAGTGGTCGTCAACAAAAGACAGACAAACAATTATTCATATCATCATTCACGCCGACAATGTTTCTTGGTTGATGATTCAATCTTGTCTCTATGTCAGATCCAAAATAATCCGAGCAAAAGAAGGTAATTTCTGAAAGAATATTAGACTCACAAATCAAAGCTTCAACACGATTTTTGTTCAATACTATTTTTTTAAGGTCATGCATTTTTTCTATTAAACAAATAAGAAAATTAATTAATAACATTAAATTATTAAATATGCTCATGAATGTTATTGTGATGCAAAGATATATTAGAAGAAATATACCTTTCAAAAGAATACATCTAACGAAATTGGACAGGTCCTTCAACTTTTGCCTCATATGGTAGATGGATAGTCAAATGCTCCATCGAGTCAAAGAATGCTGGCTGGAATACTTTCTCTAGCTCGCAAGTGGTCTCAACAATTTTTTCCTCCCACATCTTCATATTATTGACTTGAATAATCGGAGCAGTTAAGGCTCTAAAAAAGTTACTAATCTCAGGTAAGAGACCCCAAACTTCATCTATGAGGAAATCACGAAAAGCAATTGGCAAGAAACGTTACATGAAGACATGACAATCATGGCTTTTCATCCCAAACAATCGAAGTTCTTGCATGTTAACACATCGTGCTATGTTGGATGCATACCCATCTGGGAATCTCAATTCCTTCAGCCACTGACATATAAGAGTTCGTTGCTCTCAAGTAAGAACATATGTAGCATTGGGTTTTATAGCTGTTCCATCATCTTGAGGTATCAATTCTAATTCAGATCTATTGCAATACAGTTGTAAATCCAATCTAGCATTGGTGGTATCCTTTGTACAACCCTTGTCATGCATGACAGTATTTTTAATGTTATCTAAAAAATTCTTCTCACAATGTATGACATCAAGGTTATGACGAATCAATAAATCCTTCCAGTATGACAATTCCCAAAATATACTTCGTTTCACCCAATTATGAAAAACACCGAATCCTGCAATTGAATATTTACAAAGTGGTTGGCCAAAGACTATGTCAAGGAGTTGATTAACCATTTCTTCCATCAAAGTACCATCTAGTCTTGGGGGGGGGACGGCTCTTTTCAACTTTATTAAGATAAAATTTTTCTTATCTCTATAAAATGGATGTTTAGGAGGTAGAAATTGACAATGACAATAAAAAAATGATGTTTTCCTCCCATATTGAAGTTGAAAAGACTTAGTGTTCTCCATGCAATAAGGGCACGACAACTTCCCATGTGTGCTCCATTCAGATAACATGCCATAACCTGGAAAATCACTTATAGTCTATAGCAATGCAGCTTTCATGATAAAATTCTGTTGTTTGAAACTATCATAAGTTTCAACCCCATTTGTCTATAATTCCTTAAGTTCATCAATTAATGGCCTAAGCATGACATCAACGTTTTTTCCTGAACTTTTAGGTCCAGCAATTATCATGGCAAGAAATATATGCTTTGACTTCATACACAATTCAGGAGGAAGATTGTACACTATAAGAAAAACAGGCCAACAAGAGTAAGGTGTTGTAGAGCAACCAAATGGATTAAAACCATCTGTACAAAGGCCAAGTCTAACATTTCTAGGTTCATCAGCAAATGTTGGGTGGGTTTCATTAAAGTGTTTCTGTAATATCCCAAAATTTCTAGAGCATTAAAGTGAGTTAGGGACCTAATTGTGAAGAAATACTATTAATGAATTTAATGGCAAACATTTTCAAAGTTTAGGGACTAAAAAGAAAGGAAATTAGGATAAGGATCAGCTGATATTTTTATTCCTTCTCTTCCCAGCCATACACGTTTCTGCTCTGCTCTTCTTCCTTGTGCAGCCCG